TTTCCTAAGGGAGGGTACGGACGGTTGGGGACATTGCAGTATATTATAGTCTACAGAAGTATACTATGGTATATTACCGTCTATTCTATTGAGGCTTTAGGACGGTGGAGGGCCGAAGGCTGAAGGCGGTGAAGCGAAGTCATGCGATGCCCTCATGCAGATTGCAGTTGCTCCGTGCCCTTTCCGGCAAAATGGGTCGTTGGTTAGGTCCCTGAAGGAGTACAGCAGCGTAACTTAGAAAACTCTTCACATGGCCACGGCTCAAGGGAGGGGCCGAGCCTACACACAAATGGCAGCACACCAGGGAGTCACCCACGAGAATTTTCAGCGATGTGTACTTCATAGACTATGCAAAGATCCTGCCATCACGATCTCAAGGAAGAAGGAAGCCCCAAAGAACGCGGATCTCGTAGGGCAAAGCTTCCTCCTAAATTGTTGGATCCGAATCAAAGACCTCATGATAGTTGAGGTCACCAGTGAAATCATTCCGGATCCGTAAGCTGCTCTTGCTTAAAGCTGTGCTGCTGCCGGTAACTTTTGTTTGTCTGTCTTGGCTGTTCGAGACCTTTGTCGAGGGGAGGGGGCGGACCACCACGACGTCCTGCCGCAATTCGCAGGAAGGTTGCGTTGGTTCCTGGTGCAGCTCTGAGAGGGATATGCATCCTCGCCTAGACCAGAAATCGACATTAACCCAAACCCTAAACCCTAAACCACTCGCTCCTGACGCATTGTGCCGCCTTAGTCGTTAGGGTAGCAAGCTCGGACCTCGTGAAGCCATGCCTGGCTGGTGCGAGTGTGTGAGTCGAAACCCCGAACCCTAAAACCCTAAAGCCCCAAGCCCTAAACCCTAAAACCCTAAAGCCCTAAACCCCAAAACCCTAAAGCCCCAAAGCTCTAAACCCTAAAACCCTAAAGCCCTAAAGCCCTAAACCCCCTAAACCCCTAAGGAAGAGCTGGAAATCGGCCGCCTCAAAGCCGAAATGGCCGAAGCCGAGGCGTGTCCCACGTCCTCACCGACGGCCTGGCCGGGGTGGAAAGCCGGATGGTCCCACTGCTGGGTGCGCCTTGGGGGTGAAAGGGTTTAGGATGCAGGATTTAGGGTTTAGGGGTTGAAGGGTTTAGGGTTTAGGGTTTGGGAGTTGAAGGGTTTAGGGTTTGGGGGATGAACGGTTTAGGGTTTAGGGCTTAGCCTTGGGGGTTAAAGGGTTCAACATGGGCATCTAGGATAGTGCTGAAGGGACGATGAGGCGGACGTTGCGCTGTTGGTGTTTTTAAGCTTAGGGCTTTTCGTTTAGGGCTTCAGAGTAGAGGGTTGGAGAGTCTCCGCGTGCTAAGGCTGCTAAGTCCGTGCAAACCTTGCTCCTTTGTGCTGCAAACTGAATACCTGGCCTTTCAGATGCTCAGTGGATGGGAAAAGGGGGTTTGGGGTTTAGGGTTTACGGTCCTGTGCTCAGTAGGGTGCTGGCATCCAGCAAGTAACAGTTCACGGGATGCTCGGCAGCAGGACCTCGCCCGGCAGTGCCCAGTTTGAGTGCTCCCTGCTGCTGTAGGAGCTAGGATTTCGGGGTGTACTCTAGTAGCGTTCAGAAGAGTGTGAAGCTATTACGTAGCACTCAGGGGAAGAGCCCTGGGGGACAAACCGAAGTTGTAGCAAACCCCTCATCCATGGTCTGACAAAGGCTTGCCCCACGGGTTGGGGGTGTAGGGTTGGCAAATTTGAGATGTTAGGGTCTTATGCTTGGAGTCCCGAACAACTGCGACGCCAAACTGCAAGACAGCCGCCAGGTTTGCATCACAAGACTTGCAGAGAGATCACTTTCCCCATGAACATCCTGGAGCGAGGCTGGGTGAGGGTGCATGAAGGAGTTCGGGGCTCGGGAGGTCAGTGAATACGGGGTTTCGGGTTCCTCCACGAGGTCCTGCGATCTCCAGACGGGTAGACTTTACGGCACCATGTCACAATCAGGTTCTGATGTAAGCGTGATACTCGTAGCTCCTCGCTGGCCTCCAGGCTTCAACTCAAGCCTGTTTCTGAATGTTGGGAGCAACAACTGGTCACCTATCGATGCGATGTGGCGTAACACCGTTAAAGCTCTGGTGAGAGGGGGCTTTCTTAATTGTCATCTGCGCTTCACATGAGCAAGCTGCTGAGAGGGTCGCGTGTAACGTTCTGTGCTTTGGCAGGCTCACCTGTGCTTCAAAGCGAAGGTCGTAGTCACGTAATCGTAGCACTACACGACGAACTGCAGTTTAATAGTTGAAACAGCGCAGCCTAAGTGTAGTACGTTTCGGGACGGGGCTCTTTTGCCGATTCGTTTGAGGCCTTTCCATCAATATCTTGGAGGCCACGGCCAGCCATCAACTGGACAGGACGGAGGGCCGGCAAGGAGTAAGGTCCAGACATCAGAAAGATGCTTCGTACCAGTACCCTAAACCCTAAACCCTAAACCCTAAACCCTCTAAACCCCCTAAAGCCCCTAAAGCCTCTAAAGCTTCTAAACCCTCTAAACCCTCTAAACCCTCTAAACCCTCTAAACCCTCTAAACCCTCTAAACCCTCTAAACCCGCTAAACCCTCTAAACCCTCTAAGCCCTCTAAACCCTCTATACCCTAAACCCTAAGCCCTAAACCCCGGTGTCATGCGAGAGGGAAAACAACCCCTTTGTAGTCGCCAGCTTGTTCATCTGTCCAGTTGGAGGTCTCTCATCCCCTAGACTCCAAACCCAAACCCCTCGTAGTAACCCCTTATAGTCTTGTGGTACTAAGTGGGTAGTTCTCTAAATTAGGGCCCCTTTTAGGGTCGCCCTTTTTATAAGGGTGCGGTACTATATTGGAGACCCAACGAGGGACCCTTGTTTAGAGGGCGAGTCGAAACCCTAAACCCCAAAAGCCCTAAAGTCTGGGAGGCAAAAGAAACCCCTAAACCCGAAACCCCAAAAAGAAACCCTAAGACCTAAGCCCTTAAACCCTAAACCTTATCTTAAGGATCGGAGGCAGCACTGGGATGCTACTCCAAGATGCAGACCATCCTTTTCCATGGGCGGGTGGGGAAAAATGTTTAAGTTCCGACGGACGCGGATTGGTTTAGGGTTTAGGGTTTAGGGGTTTAGGGTTTAGGGTTTCGAGTAGAGGGGTCCAAAGAATCGCCCCTGAACCCCCTTAAGTTGTGATGGTCGTACCAGGAACCTCGCCCGGCTTTGTCCCAGTTGTGAGTGCTCAAGCCCCCTAAATTTTAGCCCTAAACCCTAAACCCTAAACCCTAAACCCTAAAACCCTAAACCCTAAACCCTAAACCCTAAACCCTAAATTTTAAGCCCGAATAAAAAGCCCCAAAATCCGAAGGACTCGGATCCTAAACAGCATCGCGGACCCTTATGCCAGCATCGACCAGCTTTCCGAGGAGCCACCGGAGGCGTCGGAGGGGGTAGGGCTTGGGGTTTAGGGGCTGGCTCCGCAGTGAGGCTGCTAGGGCTGCTTGCTCCAACTCCGGGCGAAGTGGAAAGCCTGTTGCAAAAGGGTTTAGGGTTTAGGGTTTAGGGTTTAGGGTTTAGGGTAGTTTTCGTTGATTTTTGGGAGTGAAGGTTGTGTGCCTTTGCGGTGAAGTTCTCGGGCTTGAGTAGAATCGGATTCTAGGTTGGCGCATGGCAGAGGGGGTCGGTTTACAACCGTGAGGTCCACGGCGTAGTCTCTTGGCCCACGTCATGGCTTGGGGCTCCGCGGGGCTTCTTGAGGATCGGTGGTTGTGCGACTTTCTTGCAATGATGCTTCGTTCGCTATGTTTGAGTAGTCGTCCAGACATTCGCATTCTTCGGATCTTGATCATGGTGCACATGCTGTCATAGGTGGACATGTATCAGTCCATGCCAGAACACTTCGTAACGGCTGTTGTGCTGGTCTTGGGCTGTTGTCGAACCTACATATTCTACTCGAGCTTGGAAACGGGGTTTCATCCCTCCTTGACGTTGTCCGACTCCTGCTACTACCATTCGTGTTAGTCGTTTCTTGATAATCCAGGTTCCCCTTTTCACGCAGGCCCTGGCCTGCATCCGTGATAGTTACGACGGGGAGCAGGGCGTATGCATTTCCCAAGGGCTTGCATCGTTGCCTTCTTTCATATACCAGTAGCAGTAGGCCCACCAGTATTCACCCTGGTGGCCGTGCTTCAACTGTCGCGTATAGACTGATTCACGGCTCCTCAGGCGCGTTGTGTGTGGAAGCTCATGCCAATTGCACGAGACGCGTGGACCTCCCGTCTTTGATAAGGGCTGCCCAAAGCTTCCCGAAATGTGTTTGCAACCTGTGCCCCAAACCCCAACAGGACCCCTTATAGGAACCCTTGGAGCAACCTTTGTCGAACCCCGCACAGGAACCTAAGAAGGACCCTGCACCCAAGCTTTCCTTTGGCTTCCGAGACCCCCCACAGGATCACGTCAAGTACTCTAACGTGAACAACGCGCTGTCTGCTCAGAGCCTCCGACCGCACTTGGCCTTGGTCTTCGCCATGTAGGGTTTAGGGTTTAGTGTAGGGGCCTTAACAATTAAAATAGGGTTTCGGGGTATATTATATTTTACACATAATCAGGAACACCCAAAATAGCCTAGGTAATTGTAAAGGCCTCTATGTTAAGGTCTTGGGAAAATGTGTAAAAGTGTACCAAGACCTGGCTTTTCAGGGCTCTTTATTGAATTATGATATCCTTATATAAACCCCTAAAGAGGCTAGACAAGTAGGTTTGTTTTGATGTAAAGGCTGGGCTTGTGATTCCTCAAGGGTTGCGAGGTGGATGATCGTGTGTCGGTTTGGGGGTTGTTGGGATTGCGGATTTGGGTTTCCACCAGATCCGACCATCCTAGCTCTAAGCCCTAAACCCTATAAACCCTAAACCCTAAACTCTGTAGCCTTCCTCCCGAATCCATTTTGGCTCTAGTCAACAACCGGGCCCCACGTCTTCAGAGTGTAAGCAAGCCTCGAGGTCCCCCCCCACGTCCTCGCAGACGCCATGGCAAATGCGGTGCTGCCTGCTTCCAGCGACTACGACTACCTCTTCCGCATCCTGCTGATCGGCGATTCCGGCGTAGGGAAGTCGTGCCTCCTGATGCGCTTCGCAGACGACACCTACTCCGACAACTTTGTGGCCACCATCGGCGTCGACTTCCGTATCCGGACCATGCTCCTGGATGGCAAGAAGGCCAAGGCGCAGATTTGGGACACCGCGGGCCAGGAGCGATTTCGCACCATTTGCGCCAGCTACTACCGAGGCGCACATGGGATCATCGTGACCTTCGACCTCACAGACCGCGAGTCCTTTCACAACGTGCGCCATTGGTTGGAGGAGATTGAAAAGTACGCGCAGCCTGGAATCAATAGGATGCTTGTGGGCAACAAGTGCGACATGGCATCCAAGCGGGCAGTCACCTACGACGAGGCCCGTGAGCTTGCAGATGAGCTCGGCTTGCATTACTTGGAGACCAGTGCCAAACATGCCCACAACGTCGACGAGGCTTTCACACAGATGGCCAAGGAGATCAAGGACCGAGTCTCAACAGAAGTTCCGCCGTCTAGCACCCCGACGAGGATGATGTTGGGACCTGCACGCCGAATCTCCGCAACAAACTGTTGCCAGTAGGCTGTCGAGCAAATCAGTGGCAAGCCTCCCGGTTTCAGATTGCCGCAAGGCCTGGTTCTTTCCAGTTTTGATGCTGCGCCACAGCTAAAAGCAACATTGTGGGCGGCCCCGTGCCTCATGTTGTACAGTCCTTTGGGCACTTTTCGCCGCGACGTCAAGCTGCGTGTGTTCCGGTTCTAGACATTCACCACCGTACTTCAGTTGAGGAGTGTTTCATAGCCTTCTGCCCAAAAAGCCGGACTCCCAGCTTGAGCCTGGCAGCCTCCGTTTCCTGGCTGGCGCGCGACCGAAGCTCCGGCGGTGGAGGGCCATTTCCATGCAGGCTCCTCCGCCTGAGCAGAAGGGGGCTTTGGAGGCCGCGGAGCCGTGGACAAAAGGAGCTGAGAAGCGAATTCCGCTTCGGCGATGTTTCGAAGTCCTTAGTTGCATTGAGGAGTCATTTTGTGTAGGGCCAGTCCGGTTCCGGATCTTTCGTCTAAATGCAGGTTGGGCCAGGGAGCAGGTCCTTGTTTACCCGGCTATGTGGTTTCGCGGTTGTGCTCTGTACTTAAACTCGACTCTGTGAGGCCTTGCAATTGCGGAGGAGTGGTCACTGTCGTTCATCCCTGCCTCAGGGGAAGGGAGTCGAGGCCCTTGTAATCTCCCAGCTATCCCAAACTCGAAAAACGAAGCTTGAGAGGGATGCTAAGCCCTACCACCTGCCCAGGTTCGCTCTTGCCGGGTGGTGCAACTCCATTCTTCACAACTGGGGCCGCTTGGCATTCTGGGTTTGCAGGTCTCGGAGTTCGACTTTGCAGGACGGTTGGAAAGTTTTCTCTTAGCTCTTGCTTTGGCTTAGGATCTTGTAAACTAGGGTGTCGATGGAGCCCTAAAGTCCTAAAGGCTACTAGCAGCTTCTTCGCGGATGCCTGACATCCGAAGCCGAGGTCAGGAGAAGCTTGCCCAAGCCCTCCTTGCCGACACCTCCCGGCAGACTGTCCAGCTCTCCTTCACCGGGGTCTTACTCTTTACCAGCCAGGAGCCGCAACAAGCCACGAAGCTACCAGAAACCTCAGGCCCTGTGTGGTCTTACGGCCTTAGTGTGTGTGTGTGTGTTTTCTGTGCCGATCTTCCTGGTGGACATATGCCTCGCCCGGATTGTCCCAGTGGTGAGCGCGCCGAAACCCTAGAAACACAAACTTACCGCTCCGTGATCTTCCGTCTGAGGGCTCTTCGCGTTCAGGGGTTTCGGGTTTCCCTCCGAGGCATTTGTAGCATCTTTTCGAGTCCACTTCTGAGATTCTGACCCAATTTCCCCAATTGTCTCGCCAGCGCGCAGTTCCCCTAAGTTCTAAACCCTAAGCCCCATACCCTACCTAAGCCCTAACCCCTAACCCCTAAACCCTAAACCCTAAACCCCATACCCGGCCCATATCCTAAACCCTAACCATCCCTAAACCATGTGACCGCTTCCCTTCTCCGGAAGCCAAGACAAGTCGCAATGCTCAAAGCTCAGCCCCAGATGGTAGGGTTTAGGGTTGGGGTTTAGGGTTTAGGGTTGGGGTTGCGGGTTTAGGGGAGCCATAAACTGCAAGTTCTTTTCATTCGAAACAGCACACACACCCTTCAACCCCAGGCACGTAATAACAAAGTCCCAAAGCGTGCAGTCTAAACCTGTCAAGCCAAGGAGGCACAAGAAGACACCCTGAAGCCCTGATAAGTAGCGGAAGGCTGCTCTCCCTAAGGTACTTCATGCTTGAGCCTCTGCAATCATCAACCGGTCAAGCCCGAAAACTGGAGTTTCGAGACCCTTCCAGGACCTTCTCACTTTGGTTTCCCATCTCCCGATCGGCCTACGGGTGCTTCGCTTGGCCGCCCGGCACAGAAAGTAAGGAACCCCCTTACGCCATTCAGGTGCTTCGGGGTTCAGGGTTTAGAGCTTCGGGCGGATTGGATAGAGCTCCGGTTCAACGGAAGGGGCTTCGGGTTTAGGGTTCACAGCCTCAAACCTGAAGAGGTTCTCCAGCCAAGAACCCCAGAACCGGAAAGAAGGCCTGAACCACCCCGAACCTGGAACCCTTAAGTCGAAACCCTAAACCTAAACCGGGTGGGAAAAACAACACCTAAACCCTAAGCCCCTAATCTGGAACCTCAAGCGTAAGCCCACAGAACTTGCTTCTCAAGTCAAGGCTTCGATCCCCAAAAGCTCGAGAGACCCTCTTAAAGCCCCCACATGCGGACACGCCGACGAATAGCAGCAGCAAGCTGCGCCAAGCACGAACGGCCTGAACCCCAAAGCCCGAAGCACCAAGACCCCAAGCCCTCAACCTCAAAAGCCTAAGCCCAAGGCCCAGCTGTAGCTTGCCCCAAACCCTAAACCCTAAACCCCAAACCCCAAACCCTAAACCCTAGATCCCAAGCCCTAAACCCTGAACCCTAAACCCTCAAACCCTAAACCCTAAACCCCTACCTAAACCCTGAACCCTAAACCGCCTCACTCAACGGAAGGATTTGGGATTCACGGGGCTCGAGCACCTGGACGACTTGGCGCATCCGTGCCTTGAGCCCCAACTTCGGCGAGCCGAGGTTTAGATCCTACTTGGCTTTAGGGGTTTAGGGGTTAAGGGTTAAGGGTTGAGGGT